TCAGTTTCTTTAGTCTGTTCTAATTTTCTTGATATGTAGTTGAAATGTTACACAACACTGAAGCTGCAATAATTACAGAGGAATCACCTTGTAAAAAGTATTAAAAATGGCCGTGACTCATAGCAACATGTTTGTGTTCTAGGAGTTGGAAGAAGAAGGCCAGGTGGTAAAAGTTGGGAGTCTCAGTGTCCGCTGGGTGCTCATGAAGCTCGCTGGACCATGGCTTCTTACTGTCAGCTCCAAGCACTGGTCTCAGTCATCCACTGCGTCACACCCGTTTTTGGAGAAGAAGCAAACCATCCCCTTTATACGGAAGCGGTGCAGCCGCGAATTCCAAGTGGAGAAGGAAGAACCACCGGCGAAAAGATTGGCTGTGGATAGAGAGGACGTCGCTGACAAAGAGGATGTGGACGGAGTGCCGCGTAACCAAGAAACAAATGAGGAGAAACAGCTGGAACAACTGGAACGGCCGATGGAGAGGGCAGATGAATCGAGGGGAGACCAGTTGTTGTTATTGGAGGAGGAGGGAGGAAAGCAGATACAGGAGGAGGAAAAACAGGCTGCAGAAAGGAAGAAGACGACGGACGCAGAGAGAAGACAAGATAACAGGAAAGAGCAGAGGTTGAGAAGAGGAAGGAAAGAGGATGAGAACAACGATGAGGCGTGCTCTTCCTCCACAGGCCCCGATACTGATGCGTGAGTACCAAATTTAATCATACCAAGGTTTTTCCCTTGATCAATATTCCAAGTTTCATCTCTCTCCTTTTTGCATCCAGTGAAACCAGCTTCATCAGCCGGCCCTGGCGCTTGGTTGATGGTAAGGTGAACCGGCAGGTGTGTAAGGGCATGCTGGAAGCTGTTCTCTACCACATCATGTCTCAGCCCGGCCTGACACACCAGGCGCTGGTAGGGCATTACAAAGATTTGCTGCAGCCAGTGGCAGTTCAGGATCTTGTGCAGGTATTCCAGTCTAGTAGTTGTTACTTCATGTATCAGTTTTTTATTTTTTCGTTTAAGTGTATCAACATTTCATACACACAAACACTAGAAATCTAAATCGAAAGGATCTAAAGATAAAATAGACTTTCCATTATTTGAGCACTTGGGTCATACACGTCCAATATTCAGTCTCCCTTCTTACCTCTATCAGCTCCTTTAGCAGGTAAATGCTTTCTATAGTGACAGTTTGTTGCTGGGCTGAGCAAGTGCACTGATGAGAGTAGTGAAAATGAACCAGTCAGCCTTATAGCGGCACTAAATCCATGCTTAAATGTTAAAAATATGCCTGTATCTTTGAATAGCAGACACAACACGATTGCTGTGTAAAACGTGATTTTAAAAATAGGAAGCAATGATTTGCAAATCTCATAAACCCAGATTTTATTCACACAATAAAAGGTATCAAATGTTTAAAGTTGTGAAATAGATCAAGTCTCAGAAAAGTTGTTTGCTGCCGTTTAGCGCCTGAGGAGACCGACTGCTGGACTTTTGGGAGAGGATGTTTTCCCATTCTTGTCCGATGGAGGATTCTAGCCGCTCAGCAGTCCTGGATTTTTGTATTGCATTTTTGGTTCCATGCTCTAAATGTTTTCAGTTGTTGAGAAGGCTGGGTTGTAGGCAGGACAGTTCAGCACTTGGACTCTTCTGCTATGAAGCCATACTGGTCTGCAGTGTAGTGTCTTACTGAAATATGCAAGATCTTCCCTGAAAAAGACGTGATGCTGCTCTAAAAACTGTTTATACCTTTCAGCATTCATGTTGCCTTTTCAGATGCACAAGCTGCTGAGGTGGTCCCTAACCTCTTTGGTCCAGAGTTTGCGGCGTCCATATTTCCCAAAAAGAAATTTCAAATTGTGATCATCTGATCACAGAAGGTTTTTTTTTCTCAGTCCATTTTAAGTTAGTTGTGAAGCTGTGATTTGTGGGTCATATTCATACGTGACTTCGTCTTTGCGTGATGCAGCTTTAACAGGCATTTGTGGATGACACGATAACCAGTACTGATTTTCAGCTTTACCCTTAGTGCAGAGATTGATGACATTATCCACGTCTTCACAATCTGGCATTAAGGAACAATCTGGCATTAAGGAACAATCTGGCATTAAGGAACATTATCAAATTGTTCCACAGTTTGTAGACACTGTTATTTTTGCAGATTGTGAACCTCTTCCTGTCCTTACTTCTGAGAAACTCTGAGCGTCTCTAAGATGCTCTTCTTTTATCCAGTCATGTTACTGACTTGTTGCCCATTAACCTAATTAGCTGGAAGTAGTTTATGAGATTTGTAAATTGCAGCATCCCAACTTTTGGGGGACAGTATACACAACATGAAAAATGACAAATATAAAAGTTACGACAAGTTTGATGAGGGCAAAGGAAGAACTTCTTAAAACGTGGTACATCCCAGGGTAACTTGTTTTTACACATTAGCACTCTTTAGCTTGTCACAGTTTTAGCATTGCTATAAAAGAGCTGTCTTTCCTTATTTTTTGTCCTATAGATAATGTGCCCATATTAAACATGTTCAAAGTTTGAGATGACAAGTTCCGCAACTTTGTTAAGAATACCCGTGAGCCAAAATGCATCAAAGACAAAAATTGACCCTTTTTATGGTTGTGTTTTTACTCTTTTTGTCTCTTCCACAGGCACTTATCGAACTGGGCTGTGTGACGAAGAAAACTCTGGCTAAAAGTCCTAAACCCTCACTGTTCACTCGTCCTGCACAGCAACGAAAAAGCGAGAGAGAACCAGACATAGTGATGTATGAGCCCACCATCAGCTGCTGCCTGCGACTCTGTCGAGTGTTGCCCAACGAGCGAACCTGGAACTGTTGTATACCCTGAAAAGTGTTTGCTAAACTTATTTTAGATCTCCAAGGACTGAGAAAATATTGGCACAATGATCAAGCCTTTGAGAGCTAAGTGAGGATATTTTAAAAATTTGATCAGGCTGTTTGTATTTCTTTTGGGAAAGTTTTTTTTTTGTGTTCAGCTTTTGTGTACTCTAACTTATAATTCTTAATAAAAATCCATAAGTCTTCTTCAAACTTGTATTTATTAGTTAATCACGTTTTTGTCATTTTCTCTGAAACATGCAAAAGCTGTGTTTACACTTATGCATACAGTATGCAGGTCTTAAAGGTTAAAATCAGCTTTGTAAAGTCTTATGAGAGAAACGCACTCGGTGTACTCTATTTTTTACTTTATTTAGTAATAAATTTAGATTCTTTATATTACAAGTTTTTTTCTACATGATAAAGGTGTGAAATCACAGAAAATGTTCGCGCTCACTGCCCATATTTTTTTTATAGTACAATGGAAAACAAGAGATTTTCTGTCATTTAATTGTTTATCAATTACTTAGATTCTTTGGTGTTGCGTGAATGACTCTGGGGGAAGTCTTTCATGCAAAAAAATGGTATGTCTGATATCTGTTTGCTGAGGAGTCATCTTTTTGTCAGGTTTTCATGGCTTCTGTTGTTGGACCCACTCGTTCACTCATGTTCTCTCTATAGCCTGATTGGGTACCTTCAAAGTGTATCAAGAGATTGGTGTAGTGGAGCGAGGTTGTTTCTAGCTGCAGAAGACTAGTAATGTGAGTAGTGTTTACAGAACGGGCAGATATCTGGAAAAGGGCGAAAACACCAGCACACTCTAATGAAAAGCACTTTAATAACTGTTTTATTACAGGATAAGAAGGTGGAGATGTTTTAGCAATAAGCTGTCATTAGGATATTTTAAGACAATCACAATATGAAAACCAGAGCTCTAAGTACTTAATGAAAAGCATCTGTATCTTTGATTGGCAGTGGAAGCTCGCCTAACCTTTATTACATTTATTGTCATTTGGCATCAACAGGACATTTTGCACAGAACTTGCTCTATATTTTCTCTTTTTGAGACTTGTTTGTAAACCCTAGAGATGCTAGTGTGAGAAAATGTGAAATGCTCAGACCAGCCTGTCTGTGACCAGTGCTATAATTTTATTTGTTCAGGTGGTTTTGTAATTACTGGCGTACGCTGTGCTTTCACTTCCTAGATGGTTGTAAAGGTGCTGAAAGTCGGACTAGGCAGGACTGCTCTGTTTTTGTTTGTTTTTTTAAAGACTCACAGTTTAAGTCTAGTTATGATGTTCTGCCGTCATCTGTTGATACACTTGAGATAGGTACAGTCATATAGAGAACTGGGGTTACAACAGAAAGTGCAGGAATAATACCGTTGTTATTGAGTGAATAAATACAAGACTGATACAGAATGGGGGGAGTCTCAGGAAACCGTGATAACGATCACCGGGGAAACAAAGAGGAAAGGAATGTACCACAGTCACATTCATTTCAATGTGACTTATGAGCACAAAACTTCCTCTTTTCCTTCAGCCAAAGTACCAAACCTTCAACATAGTTGACTGTAAGTGTGGACCTCCGATCAGCCTACAGATATTATGTACAGATATGTTTGAGTGCACTGTGCAGGTGTGTGTGAATTCCTTGAGTTCTCCATAGCCTACAATACAGGACTGAAATGGGACACTCAGAACATGTTAAAATGGATAATCTTCACTTTAATCAGAGCCACTGTCTAATGCTGGCTCACGACTAAAGCTCTCAATTGCACAACTGATGTTTCTCCCATATTACAGTTTAGAAAAGTTACGATGCATATACAGAGTACTCTATAAGCTAATGCATGGTATACTGTAATGGCATTAAAAGCAACAAGCAAAAAATACAAAACAGTAACTGCACAATAAGTACAAACTGGATATAAAGCAAACGTTTGGAAGCATCCACTAAATGTTTAAACCTCAAGACTGATAAAAAAAAACAGTGCATGGTGTGTTAAGGTCATACTGATTGACATAGAATCAGTATGTACTAACATAGAAGAGCCATCTCCACGGGACAAGACTCGGCAGTCCATCTGCATCTAAAGGTCAAAGGTCACTCTTTCGAGGATGCCAATGTTCAC